CAAGCATGGAAAAGGAGAGAAATGTGAATACATTTGTCTGATTATCTCTTGAGTGGTGTTTGTTGTTGTGTTGTATGGGAATTCAAAGTGATGAGTTTGGTAAACAAAACGGGACATGTACGTGGTGGGTGATGGGGTGGACAATACAAAAATAGCAAACCAATTCCAACCATTTAGATGGAAAATACAGAAGAGTAAGTTTCGGTGTATTACTAAGTATAGTCCACACAAGTTTATTGAGTTTTAGACTTTTAGTATGCATTTTAATATTTAACCCCTTACTCTTTAAGCTGTAACAACTATTCCACATTTAAACTTCACGAATTTTTGAATTAAAGGCATGATAACGTGAAGCATGTGATGACATTGCAATGTGAGGGAATACGTTTGGCTTAAATATTAGGGGATAAATAAAGAGAACATGGTTTTACCCAACTCTTTCTTAATAAAACTTGGAAAAAAATTAAAGAACAATAGATATAATCAGTCAAGGATAGTTAATGTGTCTGAATTAACTTTTTAGCTTCTTTTTTCCCAATTCTTAGACAAATCAGACGACACTAATTTTTTAAATTTATTTTCACTTCAAACTATTGTTTTTTCCACTATAAATGTTTCTTCTTGAAATTAATTTCTCTCAAATAAACACAAGTTGCAAGCTAAAGATTATAAACACTGGTTGTAAGCTAAATTTTCTAAACAAGGATGCTTTTTACGGTCATGCTTTGTACTCTAAAAACACTCCTTTGAAATAACTTATCATTGAATTACTTAAACAAACAAAAAGACATTTTTTTAATTTGCCTTATTTGGTTTAGTCTCTATAACTCTGTTGCTAACTTAGTTTTGTATGGAGGTATATGGAGGAAAGCTTTTAATTTCTTCATTAAAGGGGAAAAATTTACCAAATTAGACTCTAGGATAATCCTCCTGCATAATTGATACTATGCGAGATGCCACATGGGGGGTTCTTTGTACGTTTAGAAGCATGGTTTTCCATACTGCCGCCAATTGCTTCTTCTAAAAGTAGTGTTTTTTCCTCTAAAATATCTAATGTATTTAAATCAGTTAGAGCATATCTCATTCTCCTTGGATGATATCCTTAATTTAGATTTATTCCTTCTAGATTTATTCCTTTCCTAATATACTCATTGATGACCAATGCTTATATGTTATATGAATTGCTTCGACATGCTTATTTGAATTTCTCATCTCTTATAGATTATAGTGGATACATTTTGAATTAAAATTAGTACGGAGGCAGTAGGTTCTGAGAAGAACCAGAGGGACAGTAGGGGTTATGAAAGACAGATAATGGTGGCGTCAACATGAAGGGTGGATTGATTTTTTTATTTCTCTCAACTTATTTATTAGTCCTTCATAATGAATATATAATCGTAATTCATGTGCAGATTGAATCAGTTTTCTAAATCATTTTTTATCTTTCCACATAGGCTGGAAAATTGTTATTCCTAATGTAGGTTTACACTCATGGATGCTCTCAAATAATCTAAGGTCAGATTGAGCTCAAGGGGTTAGTTTCCGGGTTTGTGTGTACGTATTGAATATGATGTGTTCTTGTGCTATTAGGTATTGTGAAGCTTAAAGTTGTGGAGTAGTGAGCACCCTTCACGCCAGATAGAGAGGCTCATTAAAAAGCATAAAGCATGTGTTCTACTAGAAAATTTATGATTGTGACTTCTTCTAACATACTACGTAGTTTTTTTAGTAATTTGATATACTTCGTTTGGAATTTGTTTTGTGATATAAATAGATTTCGTCATGTGTCACAAATGAAGGATTTGCACTGTGCCCCATGGTATTGGACAGAAGAAATGAAGTGATCTTCTCATCATCTTAACATATCTTTCTTCCTTCATTTCTTTGTTGGGGAGAGATTATTACCAGAATCCTTTCTTATCTGGAATATAGAAGATCCTTATTGTTTCATTGTTAATAAGTTCATATGTATCAATGGGCTATGGTTGGGACTTGGGAGTTGATGAATTTTACGATTGTGACTTATTGTGTGATGACATTGCAATGTGAGGGAGTACATTTGGCTTAAATATTGGGGGATAAATAAAGAGAACCTGATTTTACTTAACACTTTCTTAATAAAATTTGGAAAAAGAATTAAAGGACCATAGATATAAGCAATCAAGGATAGTTAATGTGTCAAAATTAACTTTTGAGCTACTTTTTTTTCTGATTCTTAGACAAATCAGACAACACTGATTTTTGAAATTTATTTTCATTTCAAACTATTGTTTTTTCCACTAAAAATGCCTCTTGAAATTAATTTCTCTCAAATAAACACACGCTGCAAGCTAAAGATTTTGTAAACATAGGCTGTATAGTAAGCCAAATTTTCTAAACAAGGAAGCTTTTTGTAGTCCTGCTTGTACTCTAAAAAGCACTCCATTGAAATAACTTGTCATTGAAATACTCCTTTAAAATAATGGATTTTAATTATTGTGTGGTTTTGTAAAAAATCATCTAGGTTGCTAAAAAAATACTCGTAGTTTGAATGGAATTTTCATGGGTGTGTATATACACACACTTGAAACTATATTTTATTGTAGTTGAATTATTTTTTTTCTATTTAAATATCATGTATTAAAAATTGTACCTATAAACCTCCTTTTACGTGTATGTTTCATTTTTTGGATGTTTGCATAAAACACGGGAAAACTGAGCACGTGAAGTAAAAAATGGGATTCTTTTTGGGTCTTTGGGACTATCGGAAAGGGGCATTCCAAATAGAAAAAAAATTAAAATAGAAGATAATCAGATTAAGACATTCCGAGTGAGTGGGGAATGAAAAGAAATGGGATCCATGCAAAATATAAATTTGAATATTATTTAAAGTGTTGTTGTAACTTTATTATTTATACTCCAATTTTTAAAAAATATATATCAAAATTCATAACTTTTTATGATCTTTCATACGACTCTAATATTATTCATATAAAGTTTTTTAGAAAATTGAAGTTTAATTGCAAGAGGTTTTCAGATCCAAAAAAACATTAAAATTTATATATGCGATACATACATGTGTGATGTGAAAGCTCACAAAAAGTTATGAATTTTGAAACTTCATATATTTTTTGAAGAAATTGAAGTACACGTAAAACTGTTACAACACTTCAAAGAAAAATTAGATCTTTTTTGCTTGGTACCCACCATTTTCAAAATTGGGTTCATTCAGAATAGAGCTATTCAAATGGAATTTTGTTCTAAATTATTAGTCGGAATGAGGTCTTTTGAATACTGTAATTACTAGGGCTGGACACAAAAACCCGTAACTATGTAACCGTTAAAAAATACCGTATAACCATTAATTTTGTGCTTAACCGCGTACCGCTTTTAAAACGAAATCACGGTACGGTTAACCAGTTAATAACTAAAAAATGTTTCGTGGTCGGTTAACCGTTACTAAATTAATTAGAATCGGTTTACCGAAGTAATCTAGAGCTCCATCTGTAATCCAGCTAGCCGCTCCACCAGGTCCAGAGCTCCCTCCGTAAAACGATGTTCCAGACTTCCAGTTTACTTTTTGGGTATTGTGCTGGCATGTGGCTGATGGTTTAAGGGTATGGATCAGCATCCACGGGTCGGTTGACGTAAACAAAACGAAGGAAAAGCCATTTTTATTTGAACACTGAAATTTAGAATTCTGTTTTAACCTTTTTTTGGCTTACGAGTTGTTTTTTTATGGAACACTAAATTATGTTAAGGCTGATTTTTTGGGGAATTAAGATACGGAGTATACAAAATCCCTTTGTAGATAATATTTGGTACTCATAAAATATCATATTATGTGATGTTAAAGGATTGGATGTTTATTATGTTGAATACTTGAATGTTGGATTTGTTCTAAAATAGACTGTTGAATTTTATTATTCATGTTGTTGGAGTTTATTATTGTTGATGAATGATTGATGATTAAAATTGTGTGTTAATTTTTTAGTGAGTTATTCTCTTTTATGGTTTATGGTTTGTGATTAACCGATACTCAGTTAACCGAAGTTTTGGTTAATCGATACTCGGTTAACTAAAGATTTGGTTAACCAAAGTAATCGGTTTCTCGGTTAACCGCAAAATTGGTTAACCAAAATCCGGTTAACCAACCATGTCCACCCCTAGTAATTACGCATCATAAATCAAAGTCTCGTGTTTTGGGAAGGGTTGCATGAAAACCCGTAAATTGGTCATTTCCTCTTTTTTCTTATTTCATACACTTCAACCAAATTAAAGAGGAGTCATAAAGATTACATACCGGAATATGAATGGAATTAACATAAAAAAAAAAAAAAAAAAGGATGACACCCCATCCCTGAGGGCCCCCCAACACCGACCGGACGGCACGATGGGAGGATGTAAATTGGACTATAATCACAATCTGACAGATAGAGAGTGGGGCTCTGTCCCCGGTACTTGCAGAGGCCCTATGCATTTTTCAGCATAGTAACCCCTCATCGCAGTTGCCGGGATTCGAACCCGAGACCTAACCCTTGTGGCACTCCCTTACTACCAGTTGAGCTACGCCCACCGGTGAATGGAATTAACATAGATTCCATCGACACAATACTAACTCTGGAACAATCAAAAGTCCTTTTGAAATAAATTTCATCAAGATAATACTAATATTACCAAAATAAGGAGTACTAGAATTCTATCATACATCTAAATAGCACCTCTCCATTGCTTATGTAGTTATGTTGCCTATATAAATGGAAGAGTCTGGAATTATAAACAGTCCCATTAAGACCACACTTTTTTGTAAACGGGGTTGAAAGTTTTTAATGACAGAAATTGGAATCAAGTTAAACAAAGTATAGGAGGATCAAGATGCAGAGGCGGTTTAATAAAGTGATACATGTTTATTGTGGTTGTCTCAAATAAACTTATACTCCCTCCGTCCCGGGGAGAAGTTCTCAATTTCCTTATTTGGATGTCCCAAAAGAAACTTCCCATTTCCCTAAATGGAAAGTTATCCTACATTAAAACAGTGTCAAACAGTGCTAAACAGTGCCAAACAGTGCCAAACAATGCCGAAACAGTGCAAAACAGTAAAATTTACCCCTCAGTAACTTTATTTCCTAAAAATGTGTGCAAGTCAACCCGGGAACTTCTCCCCGGGACGGAGGGAGTAATTTTTTTTACTTCTTCTATTTCCATACTAGCATAAAAACCTTAGTGACACGTAGACTAGTCAATGGAGAAGGTTGACATCTTCCTGTGCTGCCTCATTCTTATGAATGGATAGTTGCATGTGATGGTATCGAGAGTAACAAGTGCATTTAGGCAGAAATTTGTGGTATGTGACGAAGATGGACAATCAATCAAGTTTGCGTATACAATGAACTTTATAATAATTTATAGTTTCGTAGACTTACACGCACAAAAGAGCGTAGCTAGGAGGGCAAGCCCTGGTCCCAGCCCGACCTAAATTTAGGGGTGGACTCGGGTCAGGCTGCCCGGCCCGGAACCAGCCCGGTACTGTTTGGGCCCGGCCCAGTACCCAGTCTTGGGGCTGGTTCGGGCCAACTGGAACCGCTAAACTCCCGGTTCGGGCTTGGGCCATGAAAATGTTGAACCGGCCCGGCCGGTTCGGGCCTAATTTGTTTTTTATTTGTTTTTTATTTGTTTTTTTTTTCAATTTTTTTTTGTTTCTACCGGGTAGGGCTGAGTGTTTTGGGGGGGTTTGGGGGGTGGGGGTGAAGGGGAGGGGGTCGGGGCCCGGGGGTAATTTGGAAAAACAAAAGAATATAGAAAACATTGAACCGGAAACCGGCCCGGAACCGCCGGTCAACCGGGCCGGTTCAAAAGCCCGGCCAGGCCCAGGCCCGAACTGGAACCGGCCTAGGCCCATTCCTACCTAAATTTAAAAGTCTATATTTCTACTGTAAAAAATTTCGTCTAAGTTGTATCGGTTCAGTGACTTCAGTCCAGCTCAATTCACCAATATGATCCAACAGTATGATTTTATTTAATGTTCTGAGTAAATGAATCGCTATTGCTCATTTAGGTGTAAAAACATCCTAACTTACATCTACTCCCCAATCAATTGAAAAAACCTGGCTAGATAAACATCTTAAATCTTAATAGGTGCCTTAATAGGAATAGCTAATACGTAATATATTACTCTGTACATCTTAATAATTAGTCAATATTTTTGCTACATGAATGACTCATCTTTTAATAGCAAAAAATATTAAGTCATCAGTCATGATTCTAATTGTCTGGATTAAGTCACAAGTAAACAAGTCTATTAAGTCACAAGTAAACAAGTCTATTAAGTCACAAGTAAACAAGTCTTGCAGGATGTTTCAAACATAACTGATAGCCTCCACATGTGGAGATGTAAAGAGTGATGCACATGATCTCATAGTCCCATTCGGACACTCCTGCTGTCCTACACTGCATCCTCGATTTGCGGTATAGCCAGAGGCGAAATAAATTGAAGGAGGTTTCAAACAATTTTTTACCCAATGATTCAAAAACAGCTAATCTTTATGTACGTTGAAAACAAGTCACAAACACCTGACACATGATAGATTTAGTGAAATAAATAAGTGAATTCTAAAAAACATTACATGATTAATATTCAAAGCTGCGTACAATTATATTCAGTCAAAAAATGTACATTGGTCAAATTTGACTTTTCTAAACCTGAGGCAAAAAAACCAAGACAATTGGAAGAATTCAAGACAGCTGAGATATAAAAAGCAATTTAAATTACAAACTTCATGTGAGGATAACTGCTAATGCTATAGCTTCTGAGGATGCAATATTATAAATTGACAACTCACAAATGAATAAAAGAACTGTCACTGGCAGCATCTTGAAACTGATGAAGCTGACGGATCATACATCTTTTAGGAACCTCACCATGTCATCTGTTAGATTAGAGCTGATGATGTTTCTTCTGGCTTATCCAAACAGTTCTGAATCCAGCTGTTGAATGTTTGGGAAAACTTGTCTCAAAGTAGTCACGTAGTTGGGAGAATTTGCCTGCAGAATAATATAAATACAAATATATACCATCACATGTTGCACAGAGCACTTAAGAGATCAATAGAAATATATTGAAAAAGTGAATCATGCTGCAAAAGATATGCTTATATGGCTAAATAATCTGATTTCTAATTGAAAGTCTGACACGCGAGAATAACATAGCGTGTTAAAAGATGCAAAGCTAACAAATTAAGTGCATCATGAAGGACATGCATGTTTGGGCCCTAAAAAACTAGGGAGAAGAGAGAAAATGCCAAGTCATTTTGTTATGTTTGGGTTTACCACAAACAATGCAAAAGAAAAACGAAATATGATAGACGTTTTTACTTTTTTTATCTGTTGGATTGCTTAGTATTTATATTATAACAATAAATATATGAGAGCGCCTTTCAACAAATCATTAAAATAAATTTATTGAAACTGAAAGAATGTATTAGCTTCCTCAACATTTTCCTCTCAAATTTCTTTTCCTAGAGTTTTTTTCACTCCAAACAGACCGTAACTGGCATGTCCATCTGCAAAGCACTAAAAGGGGCAGTATTACTGAACTCTGAAGCTAAATAATCCTACTTTGTGGAAGCCTGCGGAAGCTTTTAACCTAGGATTTCTTGTAGAGGTTTGAAGGATCTTCTCAAAAATCAAATTGTGGAAGCTTGTCTCTTGGGTTTGTGAGGGTTAGGTTCCTCTATGCGTTATAGAGTTTGACCTGACTCAGAAGATTAGTGGCAGCTATCTTCCCTTCCTAAGATCTGTAGCAGAAAACTAATTTGATATTAAACATTGGTCTAGGGTCTTGCATTGGTCGAACTGTATCGCTTGGTTGGTTCACATCAATAATGAAGTTTAAACTAGGATGAGTAGAAACAGTAATTATATCATACATCCCGATGTAATTCTACATCCGCGTATTTTTGTAATTTTCCTTTAACATTTGCTTATTTCGTAAATAGAGAATGCTCATCCCATCATAATTACACTCTGTAACTGTTTTCCCGATTATTTTTCATTTGATATAATATTCATTTGAATATAAAAGATGCCCATTTTGCATTTAAATAATAATCATTTTGTATGAGACAAATGCTCATTTCATCATTTGAATGTATCATGTGCACATAGTATTCAAATGTATAATATATGAATCGAGTAGAAACCGTTGTTAAGTAAAATACACATATACATACACATGGGTTGCGCTCGAGATAGAGTGTCGTCAGCTTCTGTCGTGAACCACTAACTGCATCAGCTATGCCTTCAAGAGATGATATGTTGTTGTCGTTCAGCCAGAGATCTTCTAAGCTGAAGTGAAAGAGAATACAAAAAGTATTAAATGAAATGATCTAAACATAACAAATGTGTACACATAGAGCACCGGGGAGTAAACAGTCATCATACCTAGTCAGGTTTTCAATACCAGTAATTGCAGTAAGCTTGTTTGCTGACACATCCAGGACTCGAAGGTTTACCAAGGTTGATAAGCCTTCCATTTTTTCAATACCATTATGGCTTAGGTATAGCTCTTCCAAAGCAACACATTCCTGCAAATCAAGAAAACGGATTAAGAAAGTGTATTTAGATAACGAGAACATCCTCCCACCATATTTTACATAACTGCTATTCTGCTAATGGATAAGTGGATAATACCTCCAATCCAGTTGTTGCTGTCAAACGGTTACTCTGGATGCTAATCTTCTTAATGCATTTTAAGCCACAAAGATTGATAGCTCGAATACGGTTGCGGCCAAGCCATAGCTCTTGTAGATTTATTAAAGTTTGCAGATTCTCCATTACCTAACCAACCAAAATGAGGGCTTAAAGTTTTTTTGTCTAGTTTTCCAGAGTAAAACATCCTGAACACAAAATCGATGCATATACATCTCCATGCAGGGATCGAAGTAACAGTTTACGGTCATTGACATGATTCATTCTAAAATAATAACAAGGTGTGAGAAACAAACCCGTAATCTGTTTGACCCAAGTTCAAGAATACTCAGCTCTTGAAAGTGTTCAATCTCTTCCATCTTTGTAACTTCATTATTAGAGACATAGAGTTCCTTCAATGTACTAGAGACCTTGGACAATCCACTAAGTGATAGGATTTCATTGTATGAAACGTCAAATACCAGAAGTTTCTTAAATATGCTAACATCTGGAAGTTTCTTAAGCTGATTATCCCTGATTACGAGTTCCTGAAAAAACAATTCAACTACATTACTTAAATTCAATACATAAGGCCATTACACAATGAAATTCAAGCTAATGAATGACAATCTGTGGTTCCATACAGTGTTTATCAATGGCAGATGGCGGATTATGGAGGATTGTCAAAATAGGGCCATTCTTCACAAATTGCAGATTTCCACCACCATCTGTGATGGCCCCCATTTGACAACACTGGTTACTTTAAAAAGAGTTGTGTGAATCTAATTAAAACTACAAAAGTGATAGGCATATGGTGCAAAGGCCTAGTCACTTCTTTAATAAAGTATATAAAAGGAGGCAAACGGGAGCGGGGGTCAATTAGTGAATTACTTTATTTCAGTTTGGTCCCTGCGTGGACTGAGTACTATAAATAGAATTGGGGTAGCACAAATAAGGCAGGCTGTTATTCAGATAATTATAGACTGGGAGATTGGACATCTCGAATGGTCCTAGGGCACTGTATCCATTTGTGATCTGTCTTATTGTCTGAATAAAAGTTCTCACCCTGTTCTCATATTTTTTTTATCATTTTCTGCATTTCTGTGAGATCTGGTGTTGCTAGGTACTATCATTGGTATCAGAGCATCACCGTTCCTGGTGACGGATCTTACTGGGCGATTTACACCATTTCACGATCAGTAGTGAATGGTCAAAACGAGAGCCAATATGGAGTCGCGATTGGATACTGTTGAGCGACGAATAAATGAGGTGCAATCTGAGCTGAAGAACGAGAATAGAATCATGAAGGACGAGCTGCGTTCAGCAATGGAGGCATTGGCCGCAGAGCTGTCTGCATCCATCAAAGCAATATCAGATCTGAACCGGATCAGAGCTCGATCGCGATCGCCACCTCAGCATCGTGTTCGCGCTTCTCGCAGCCCTACGATATCTGGAGATGACCCCACTCACGCTCTCATCCATCCTCATCGAGATCCTGAGAACCCTAACCGGTTTTCTATACAAACCGGTAGGAAGATCGACATACCAATTTTTACTGGAGATAGTGCGTACAACTGGATCGTAAGGATGGAGAGGTATTTCAGAGTAAATCATATTCAGGAAGAACGGGTTGAAGCCGCTGTGGTCGCAATGGAAGAACGGGCGATTAACTGGTTCATTTGGTGGGAGCATCAAGCGGAGAGAAGGAACTGGGAAACTCTGAAAACCGCTATTATCAGAAGGTTCCAACCTGACTTGATCCAAAACCCCTACGGTCCTATGCTAAGTCTTAAACAGACAGGAACAGTGCAGGAATTCCGAGACGAGTTTGAGATGGTGATAGCACCCCAGATTAATGTGGATACGGGAATCCTGAAAGGCATTTTTATCAATGGTTTGAAGGCAGAGGTTAAAGCTGAGTTGAAACTACACAGCACGACTACCTTAGCTGAAGTAATGGACTGGGCCCTATTGATTGAAGAGAGAAACGAGGCAATGTATCTTAGAGGAAAGGAGAAGGGAAAGGCCATTGCCCCGACACAGACCTGGGTGGACGGATTTAAATCTAAAATAGGAAACTCCTGGTCCAACAATAATGGGAAGGGAGCAACTGATGCTAAGAATAATCCTGCATGGGTAAACCCTACTGGGAAGAAGCTAACTGAAATCAACCCTTCTGCAAGTCGAAGGTTAGGGCCCCAGTTGTCACAAGAAGAGTATCAGGATAGAAGCCGAAGAGGGTTGTGTTTCAAGTGTGGGGAAAAATGGAACAAAGAGCACACATGCAAGCTGAAGCATTACAAACTGATATTAATAGAAGATTCAGAAGGGGAAGAGGACGTGAAGGAAGAAGAAGAGCCTGAAATTGCAGAGCATGACGTGATTAATATGGAATCCAAATCCATGCAGCTCTCTATTATGAGCAAGGAAGGGATTCCATAAATGAAAGCCTTCAAAGTGCAGGGAATTCTGAGATGGGATCAGGGAGAAAAGCAAGTGGAGGTGTTGATTGATAGTGGAGCTTCCCACAATTTCATTTCTCAGAAATTAGTGGAATGCTTCCAGTTACCCTATCATATTATCAATAGTTACCAAGTACAGATTGGAAATGGTGATAAAATCTCTAATAAAGGCAGATGTGAGAAGTTGACACTTAGTATGCAGGGGACTTTAATCGAACAAGACTTCTACATGTTAGATCTAGGAGGAACTGATTTGGTCCTCGGCATGGAGTGGCTAGCTAGCTTGGGGGATGTACAAGTCAACTTTCAAAAGCTTAGCATCAAGTGGCAGCAATCTGGGTCAACTCAGGTTATTCAGGGGGATCCAGAGTTCAACTCTATTGAAATATCTCTGAGTAAAATGTCACAGATTCTCAAGGACGTAGGAGATGGTTACATGATGATCTATGAGGGTAAGGTTGTAGAAGGAGAGCCAGGCCAGGGGAATGACTCTATATGGGAGGCAATTGTAGCTGAATATCCTGAAGTTTCAGCTCCCTTACAAGGATTACCGCCCACTAGAGCATGTGACCATGTTATAAACATTAAAGAAGGAGCTGAAATACCTAACATAAGACCCTATAGGTATCCACAATATCAGAAGGATGAGATTGAGAGGATCATCAAGGAAATGCTTCAATCCGGGATTATACAGCCTAGCAACAGCCCATACAGCAGCCCTATTTTGCTTGCCAAAAAGAAGGATGGTGGCTGGCGTTTCTGTGGGGATTACAGGGCCTTAAACAGAATCACAATACCTGACAAGTATCCAATACCGATCATTGAAGAGTTATTGGATGAGATAGGGGGGGCAAAAATCTTTTCAAAGCTAGACTTGAAGTCGGGATATCACCAAATCAGAATGCATGAAGCTGACATCCAGAAGACAGCCTTTCGTACTCATGAGGGTCACTATGAGTATTTGGTGATGCCTTTCGGCTTAACCAATGCTCCCTCTACTTTTCAAGCGCTGATGAATCAGGTATTAAGACCTTTCCTGAGAAAATTTGCACTCGTTTTCTTTGATGACATCCTGATTTATAGCCATAATGAAGAAGACCATAAGGGACATTTAAGGGAAGTACTATCTGTCCTAAAGGATAATCAGCTGGTGATCAATCTTAAGAAATGTTCCTTTGGTCAATATAAGCTTGTATACTTGGGACACATCATTTCGGGGAAGGGTGTGTCAGCTGATCCAGCTAAGATTCAGGCTATGGTGGACTGGCCGCAGCCCAAGGATCTGAAAGGCCTGAGAGGTTTCCTAGGGCTGACAGGGTACTATAGACGGTTTGTGCAAGGATATAGTAAAATTGCTTCCCCGCTTACACAGTTGCTGAAGAAGGATAGTTTTCTATGGACAGAACAAGCTACAAAGGCTTTTGAGGAGCTTAAAAGGGCCATGACCACTCTACCCGTACTAGCAGCCCCAGACTTTAATAAACTCTTTATTGTGGAATCAGATGCATCTGGGACAGGCCTGGGGGCAGTCCTCATGCAGGAAGGAAGACCCACTGCTTATATGAGCAAGGTATTGTCCAAAAGGAATCAAAGCAGGTCGGTTTATGAACGGGAACTTATGGCCATTGTCCTAGCAGTTCAGAAGTGGAGGCCTTATTTACTAGGCAGGCAGTTTGAGATTCATACAGATCAGAAAAGTCTGAGGTTTCTTACTGAACAAAGAGTGATGGGAGAGGAACAGCAGAGGTGGACTTCCAAGTTGCTGGGGTACAACTTTATCATTAAATACAAACCTGGAGCAGAAAACCGAGCGGCTGATGCTTTGTCCCGGAAATCTCAATTGCAGGCCCTATCTATTGTGACCTGCCATGAATGGGCTGGACTAGAAGATGAATTGAAGTCAGACCCTTATTGCTATGAACTCATTCAGAAGGTGATGTCTCAGCCAGATAAATCTTCTGACTATCAGTTAAGGAAGGGGTTGTTATATTATAGGAAGAGGTTGGTGTTACCCAGACAGTCTCCCCGAGTCCTCAAGCTAATGAAGGAATACCATGATTCTGCAACCGGGGGGGCACTCAGGTTATTTCAGGACTATGAAAAGAATTACTAATCTATTCTTTTGGCAGGGTATGAGAAGTGACATAAAACAGTATGTTGAGGAGTGTGCCACGTGTCAGGCTAATAAATACCAAGCATTAAGGCCAGGGGGATTGCTACAACCTCTACCTATTCCCCAGAATATTTGGTCAGACATTAGCTTGGATTTTATTGGAGGTTTGCCTAAATCACAAGGAAAAGATACAATCATGGTTATTGTGGATAGGCTGACCAAATCAGCTCATTTTCTGGCATTAACACACCCTTTTAATGCCAAAGAGGTGGCAGAATTATTCACCAGGGAGGTTGTCAAGCTGCATGGTTTTCCCAAGACGATTGTGAGTAATAGGGACACAATTTTCCTGAGTAATTTCTGGTCTGAACTCTTCAGGTTGGCTGGAACACAACGGAAGTACAGCACTGCCTACCACCCTCAAACTGATGGACAAACTGAGGTGGTAAACAGATGTTTAGAGACTTATCTGAGATGTTTGACAGGAAAAAAGCCCAAACAATGGGTCCAATGGTTGGCCTGGGCTGAGTATTGGTATAATACAAATTACCATGCTTCACTAAAGATGACTCCTTACAAAGCCTTGTATGGCCAAGATCCACCTCCTATTATTAGAGGGGATGCCAGTCTGACTGCTGTGGTAGAAGTATCCAAGTTGACTGCTCAAAGAAATGGAATGTTGACTGAACTGAAAGAGAACTTGGAGAGGGCCCAAAATCAGATGAAGCAACAGGCAGATAAGCATAGAAGGAATGTGCTATTAGAAGTGGGGGACCTGGTATACTTGAAGATTCAACCATATAAACTGAGAAGTTTAGCTAAAAGGTTGAATCAGAAGCTGAGTCCGAGATACTATGGGCCTTTTGAAGTGATCGAAAAAATAAGTGCTGTAGCATTTAAGCTGAAATTGCCAGAAGAAAGTAGGGTGCATCCGGTGTTTCACATCTCGCTATTGAAGAAGGCCATATCCCCTAAAAGTACTTTCCAACCCTTACCTAGATGTTTGAATGATGAATGGGAATTACAGGTGATTCCGGAAGCAATATTGGACTCCAGAGTCAACAAGGATGGAAAGATGGAGGTTCTGGTACATTGGAAGGACTTACCGGGTTTTGAAGACTCTTGGGAGTTACTACAGGCCTTGACAGATTCCTTCCCAGACCTTCACCTTGGGGACAAGGTGAATTCTCAGGGGGGGAGTAATGATAGGCATATGGTGCAAAGGCCTAGTCACTTCTTTAATAAAGTATATAAAAGGAGGCAAACGGGAGCGGGGGTCAATTAGTGAATTACTTTATTTCAGTTTGGTCCCTGCGTGGACTGAGTACTATAAATAGAATTGGGGTAGCACAAATAAGGCAGGCTGTTATTCAGATAATTATAGACTGGGAGATTGGACATCTCGAATGGTCCTAGGGCACTGTATCCATTTGTGATCTGTCTTATTGTCTGAATAAAAGTTCTCACCCTATTCTCATATTTTTTTTTATCATTTTCTGCATTTCTGTGAGATCTGGTGTTGCTAGGTACTATCAAAAGTTGATGGGAATGTTATTTGTGACTGGCACTGTTCATTAGGATTCCAAGAGGACAAGATCAAACGTACCTAATTCACTCATATTAAAGCAAGATTAGAAGAAATAGGCGAGTAGCAAATGCAGAGCTATGTATATGTTTAGGGGGAGGGGTTGGCCCCTCCCAACAGTTTTTTTTAAATTGTTGTTTTGTAAGTTTTTTGTGCCCTCCCTAATATTAAGTTCCCTCTAGAAGTATAGTAGTGAAAAATATTATGATAGTACTACTAATTTTTCAATACCACATAAAAATTCATTGTGCTCATTTTACAATTAAAATAGTGTTGATTCAAAACCTGTGACAAACAACTTTTGAGATTATTAATAAATGTCATGATCATAGTTGTCAATGGCGCAATATGGCGCACGCCATATGTGCCTCATGGAAAAATGGTGCACTCCCAAGGTAGTCTAAGTCGCGAGGCGCTTCAGTACTCATGTCAAGCGCAATGTTTATAAAATAAAGAGTGTTATGTATTGTATTCTGGAATTACCATCTTACCGAATATGAAATATTCAAAAGAAATTGCCCTAAATAGGAATAAAATGTATGTGAAATCCAAAATAGAATTATCATGTTTTTTATTTCCGAGATAGGAATAATTACTGTCATTTTTTGGTATTACCAGACTTTATACATGACAGTATTTGTCAAGTTTGAAAGTAGTTACTCCCATTTAAGGAATAAAAACATGACAGTCCTATTTTGGAATTTCCAAACGTTTTTACTCCTATTTCAGGAAGTTTCCCTATATTCAACATAACATTGAAATAAATGCATTAAAAACTCACTATTCAAAAAATAAAAGACCAATTCAGAAGCCATAACTTGTCTTAAAATAATAAAACCAAAATTGGCATTCAGTAGAGATATAGAGGAATCACTTGAAGTTTCACTGTACATATACTATAATACCATTGTAATTCAAAATTTATAATATAAAACATGATAGAAAAAGAAAACAAACAAAAATCAAAGAACAAACTTGTTAGGAGAAAAAACAGAAGGAAATGACAGAAAAAGGTAAAGATATAGACTTTAAAATGATAAGATAGAAATAAAGAAAGAAGATATAGAATTTACATTCAAAATTGGAGAGGGAGATTACCTTCTGCATGTTTTGTGGGCACGAGAAAGAAGAATGCAACAATAAAAACTTAAGTTTTTGTAGACTCCTTAATAGACTGATTGGGAAGGGTTTTAACAGGGTCTAAATTGTTTTGCCCTATTAGTTGGACAGGCTATATCTTATTATTAATATGAGTAATTAAAATAGGCACAAATCTTATTTTCAAAAAGCAAAATATGCTGATAACCCTTTCCCAGTCAACACAAATCGGGTGAGCACTTCTGCACCTCTGCACTTATATGTGCATGACTCAGACAGCCTAGCCTGGAAAACTAATAGGCGCTGCACAAAATCCCTCATGTCGACGGCTCTACACGTGGTGTTGCCATATTAGTGCCATCACCATGCCATTGTATTGTGGATATAGCAGTCATGTCAATTGTTTGGTAAACAATGTAAATATGTAATTCAAATAGCTGCATACTTAAAACTTTGATGTCATTGAATCTTCAAAAAAAATTACAATGGAGACACTACATTTTCCCAAACAATATCATTTACGACATCAAAAACCTGGTTGAAAAAAGTGGACGTGTGGAAAGAAACTCTTTTCAAGGAACAGAAGAGACGGTAAAAGAAGAACCAAAGAGGTAGGGAGAAGAGCCTTAACATATAGATGAGACACACACGCGCACACACCCATATATAAATGAAATTACGAAAGAGGTTAAGGGAGTAGCAGTCGGACTAAAATGACCTATGACATATCAAAGGCCCCAAAAAGTTAGTAGTTAAGAGAGAATAAAATCTAAGTAAAAACACAGCTTATCCTAGTCACGCTTAATGTTAACCTTGTTTATATTTTATGTCAATATAATGATAAACACTATGCGTGCATTATGTGACTATATCAATGCTTTAAAAAAGAAAAAGGTAAATATACTCTGAACTTGCATACACGTGGACGAACAAATGCATATCTATGTTGTTATTGCACATTTTATCTACTTTTATAGTTAAAAAGTACTACCTCCGTCCTACGTCCCGGCTTATGCTTTTCGTTGAAATGGCACAGTTATTTTCGGAATTTTATCAATTCGGGACCTGAAAGATAGATGAATTATCAATTCGGGACCTGAAAGATGAAATGTATCAATATAGGACCTGAATAATGAAAAACTATCAGTCTAGGACCTAACATTTCATAGGTTTTGATGTATTTAATTTTTTACTAACTCCATTGCTAATATTTGGTGAATTTTTCTTCACAAAAGTTTTTTAGTTTAATAAAACAAAATATTATTTATTTTTTTAAAATGAAAAAAGTAATAAAATTTATGAAAACTTAGGTCCTAAATTGATAGTTTCCTATCATTCGGGTCCTAGATTGATAGTTTTTCATCGTTCGGGTCCTATACTGAGACATTTCATCTTTCGGGTCCCGGATTGATAATTCGTCTATCTTTCAGGTCCTGGATTGATAAAAATCCTACTTTTAATATTTGATGATTAAGTTCTCATTTAAGGGTGCTAATTTTTTCAAGCTTAGACTGAAGGAGTAAATATTAAGTATGTGCAGCTATGGAGGATAAGAAACAAGACTAAATCTGTAATAACTTCTACCAGAGACCAAGTGTTCATTTGGATTTTGGACTCATAAAAAGCACTTTTTGAAGCCAGCATTTTTTAAAAGCTTTTACTTTATGCTTCTTTGTTGAGAGAAGTCTTTCTAACCCTACAAAAGCTTAAATTCAATAAATTCCGAATCAATTAATTCACTTCTATGTAAAATAAAGAAGAAACATGCTTCTTTTGAAATGAGAAGTGTTTTTATCACTTCCCATAAGGCATCGCATACAAGAACTAAACAGTATAGAAGTTAGCAATAAATAGAATTACATAAACTGTTATTTGATCCATTTTCTAATCTCAAACCGAAGTTTAAAAATTTTCGTGGTTATTATATGACTACTAAGACTCTGGCCACCAATTATAGCAAAGCATCACCAAGGAGATACGTTTTTTTTAATTGTAATGATAAAATTATAAAATTTAATATAAAACGCAAAACAATAGCAAAGAATAAGAGAAAACCGAGGAATTTATGAAGCGCTAGGTTTTGTGTACCTCAAGTTCGGATATTGTTTGCCACGACGAAAGAGGCTCGATGGCTGCGTCTGTAAGGAGATTCTGACGAAAGGACAACTTCTTGAGATTCGATAGCCCGGAAATACGAGGGTCTAACGCCGACAAACGGTTTGCCGTCAAGTCCAGCTCGGAGAGACTCAGGGGGAGCTCAACGGCGTCGAGATCATGGAGCTGGAAGCTGGTGAGATCGAGGATGTTAGGCGAAGACGATGTTCCTCCGTCCTCCGCCGTTGGATCGGCCGGATGGCCGAGAGTGGAGGTTCCTGGGGAATCCATCGAGTATGAAGGGAGTTTCTGAAACGTTAACGGTGCGGCGACACGTGAGAATCGAAAACATATGCTTATTTATTTTCATCCTTTTGAAAAGAAAAAAAAAAAAATACTCCCTCCCTCCCAATTTGATGATCTCATTTCTTTTGGACTCAAAGATTAAGGAAGTGGTTGAAAAGATAAAAGTTGTAGTTGAGATTTGAGTAAAAAAGGTAAAATGACGTGGACCACATATTTTTTTCCAAAAAGGTAAATGAGACTATCAATTTGGGACGGTCCAGAAAGGAAATACGGGGTCATCAAATTGGGACGGAGGGAGTATCGATGATCTTGTTTCTTTTGAGCACAAATATTAAGAAAATGTGGTAGAAAGACTAAAGAAATTTACTTTATTGTACTATTCATCCTTTTACTTTTACTATTTATTAAAAAAGAGAGGTATAAGTGGTAATTCACTTTTAGTTCTTTACTAAAAAGGAAAACAAGAGCATCATTTTGGGACATCTCAAAAAGAAAATATTTGACCATCATTTTGTGACGGAGGGAGTAATAGAAAAGTAATTCCAAATACACTTAATATTAGAAAAATGACCTCAATATTATGAATGAACTTTTCAATTCCAAAAATATTACTCTTTTTCCTTTTTCCAAAAAGGTGACCTCATTTAATTAATTCTGACCTTATTTTTGTACTACTTAATTGAATGGCTGCAATCTAATACTCCCTCCGGTTTTTAATAAACTTCACACTTTCCATTTTGGGATGGTCTAAAATAAATTTCACACTTCCTTATTTCCTTTTTTGGCAAAGAAATATCCATCAAAACAGTGTCAAATAGTGCCAAACAGTGTCTCAACAGTGCCAAACAGTGTCTCTACAGTGCCAAACAGTGTCAAACAGTGTCTCAACAGTGTACTCTACAGTAAAGTCAAATTTCTTTTCTTATTTTGTGTGAAGTCAAAGTTTGAAGATTAAATAAAACCGGGGGGAGTACTACGTATCATTTAATATATTTCCATTCACACCTCAATTGAGTCAATTCATTCCATCTTCTGCATCCGTCTTCCGCATATACCTTGACGGACCATCGGAGCTTCCACTGCCAGTAATATTGACATGCTACCGTCCATCCACCACCTCCGCTGGTACAGCCCTGCCACCGCCCATCCCACGACCTTTGCCGCACACAAGCCTCCTCCTCCTCAGCATCATCTTCTACCCTTCTCGTTCAAAATTTGGATCCAATTTGAGGGCAATTTATTTTCAGATCTAGGCAGTTGGGTAAGGATGGAGTAGTTATGCAAGAGCTTGGGCTAGGGGTAGGGCGGATACGAGGCAGTTCTGGTAGGGTTAGGGCGGGACTGCTGAGAAGGGGCTAGGGTGACCTGGTGGGGGAGGGGAGGATTGGTGGGGCTGGTCACTATGCCCTTAGGTTTGCCATTGGTGACCGTGATTTGGTTGTCCGGTAAGCGGTGTTTAGGGAAGGGTTATTGATCAGTTTGTTGCAGTAAAATCATGATGTTCATATTAAAATTCATTATAATTGTCGCTCGGGGCGAAGGCTGTTTTGTGATGGCCAGTGGTGGATAGAGATTGTGATTGAGTTAGTGACTAAGGGGTTGAGTACTAGAAGTCACTGAATACTGAGTCACTAAGGTGAATTTCAATTATTATGGATGGTCACTAGGAACGTTTTTACTACAGGTTGGGGTGGCAGTTCATAAATGGAGGGCGATTAGTCACTAGTCGAGGTTTCGGGGTGACGGAGTCACTAACTAGACATTCACTTTCAACCAAGCACTGGCTAGTCACTGAAATATACGTAAGTGACCATGTGGTCACTATCGGCGGCAGCGGAATGCAGCCGGCAGTGGTGCTTGTGATGATGGCAGCAGCAGAGGTGAAACCAGCAGCGGTGCTTGTGATGGCATTGGCTGCCATTGGGGTGGTTAGAAAGATTACGTAATTCTTAATTATGAAAATGGAAAACCACATTCAATAATAAATGTCAAATTAAAAATGGACATAAATGATTTGGTAAGTCACATTTTTGGAAAATTTAAAAATAAGTTACATTTTTGTCACATATAAATGGCCTTAATATTATACTCCATTCGTCCCTAAAAATACTTTCAACTTTCCCTTTTCGTCCGTCCAAAAAAGAACTTCACTTTCTTTTTTTGACAAAAAATTTGTGGTTCACAGCAATTCTTACACATTTCTCTCTCCTCTTACACATTTCTCTCTCCCCTGCACAACTTTCCATTACACAATTCCCACTTTCTTAATCCGTGTGACATTTGTACTACGAAAGTAAATTCAGGGGAAAAGGGAGTAAATTACAAAAGGTAGTTTATAATTGACAAATTTTAGAGCAACCTAACAATTCACATATCCCATAGAGATGTAGATTTCTCTATTTAATATATAAATCGATTTTATGAACCCCAACAAGGTAATAATAAAAATTGTGGTTTATCTAGCTACCAGAACAAAAAGGCTAGAATCTTGAGTTTCATCGGCTAGTGATAAGAAGTGGTCAATATCATATGCTTGATCAGCCAGCGAAAAGAGAGTCCAATCGAGCGTTATGTTTCTTTCATAGTATGTAACACCTCGGCCCCGCATGACCCGAGATAGTTACTCCTAAATACTCTTCAGATCTCTAGTACTGTACTTACAAACCAACACGAGCCTTTACTCTGCACTTTATCCTTACTCGTGAGATCTCTGAAAAAAATCTCATGGGGTCACTCATTCCAAAAATACTCTCTTGCAAGCATGCTTAACTATGAATTCATAGCTAATGAGCTTCCTTAAAACGAGATGATCTTTGTTAATATGAGTCGTACCATTAATTCTTTTCAAATTAATCTCAAATATTACATAGTATGTCGGTGGTTTAGGAAGGGTGAATAACTAAAGCTTTGGATTAATCACTAATGCCCGAAATTAATTTCCCAAAAAAATAAAAAAAGCATGGCAACCATTATCAACCATCAACAATAAAATCTCATTTGGTTTTACCGACGAGGAATACACAACTCCTTCACATCGCTAAACGGATCTTTCTCATTTTCATAAGGGAAAATTTTTTGGTGTTATTGAGGAGAAAAATAAGAGAGATGAGAGGACTAGGTAGTGAGAATGTTTTTTGGATTGAAATTTTATAGTGGTCTGAACTAGTCTAATGTGATTTGATAGATGTCTGTATATGTGTACTTTACAATTGTCGATGTCAGATCTTATCTGTGTAAGTCTGATTTCATTTGGTCTACCTAATTTGACTAGGGACCGAAATCAGTCCAGGTAATTAAAAACATCCTTGAGACCTTGAGTATCAATATTTTATTCACAAACGAGTAGGTACATATTTTCTTTGATAGTGATCACTTAAATTCCAAAAGATTTTTATTCACAAACGAGTAATTTCATCCAACTTTTTATTCCAAATTAATGCCAAATGGATTGAACAAATGCAAAGGTATTGAAAATAAATGAATTATAGCCCTCTTTAAATATTTATAATTAGGGAGTCATTATCATCATTACCAATTACCAAAATAAATACAATTGTGATTTCAAGATGATAGCTGCATGATACACAATCCTATATATACACACACCCACACACAAAGGGATAATCATATACAAATTCCCTGCCATGTATGTCATAAATTCATGATACGTTACAATATCATTCTCTATCCTATTAGTACATAAATACATAATATTGTAGGGTCTGCCTCTTTCACTAATATAACCTGTTTTGTCTAATTTTCTTCCTTGAATTATTATGTCAAACAATTCACAAGTACAACTCAAGTCATAAAATCAAAAGTCAAGATGAGATCTGTCTAGAAATGTGATCCACAAAAGTTATTGGGAATGCAAATTTGACGATTCACATGTATTTTGATTTAAATTAGTATTTTAATGTTTGGTACATTTTTCTTTTTGGGTTGTATTTGAAAGTTTGCTACATTTGGATTTTTGGTAAGTTTACCCTTTATAAAATACTCAACTACCTTTATTTTTCTACTTTTTATCTTCTCTTTCATACTTTTACACTCCTCTCTCTCCTACTTTTTCTACACTAATTACTACCCCTACAACTTTACTTCTTAAATAATGTGTCAAACCAAATGTAGTGAACATTAAAATAGGGAGTATTATTTCTTTGAAAAGTAAAAACTCAACACATTAGAATTTGTTTCTCATGTTATTCATCTTCATGTTACATTCACTTCTACAGTTTTATACATTAATCTTTATCAAACATGTTATAATATATATATATATATATATATATAGTCATTATTATACTTCTGAAATTATCTCGTATGATGAAGAAAATTAAGCCTCGTTCAATGATAAATCCGTATTTCGACACACATTTGATACGTATTGGGATCAGATTTTGATGGGTTTTCTAGCTTTAAGGTGTCATAAGTCTCAATTTTAGCTCAATTATGTTTACCGGGCGATGGTTCGAGTTTTGGTATTTTTGAAGTCAAAATCAGGAAATTAAAGCTCGGCACCGGCGCTTGAAAAGCATTCAGGATGAGTTGATGAGCATTCGAGAGTGATTCGAGAGTTTTGGAGGTCTCCGGGAGGTTCACGACGATGATTTGATGAAGAAAGAACCTTTGTATCGATCACGGAAGCATTTGGGGGCGAAAAGATGAAGAAAAGAGCCACGCACATCGTGCGTGCCAGCCAGGCACGCCATGCTTGCGTGGCAGAATGCCCGGACGCGGAGATGAAGTAGGCACGCCGTGCGTCCCTACCAAAGGAAAAGGCGAAAGGGCTACTGGAGGCCAGACACGGCCGTGCCTGCTAGGGAGGCAAGTCGTGCCTGACCCTGCGACACACGATTACTCCGGAGGCACAATCGCCAGACACGCCGTGCCTGGGTGCCGTGCCTGCGCCGGAAATCCTATTTTGGCCCGAATTTTACCTTTTTCTATAAATAAGGCCTCTATTTCTCCGTTTGACGGTTACAGAATTTAGAGAGAGGCCTAGGGAGGAGTTTTACATTTTTTTCTGCTTTATTCTTCAAGACTCTGAGATTA